TAAGAATAATAGGTGCAAGATCTGTTACACTGAAACTAAAAATATTACTGGAAAAATAAAAGACCTAAATAAATAGAAATATATATCATGTTCATGTTCAGTATTTTTAAGATGTGAATTGTGTCTAAATTTATCTATAAATTCAAAGTTCCCAAACTAAATCTCAGCAGGGTTCTTTTTTTTTTTTTTTGATAGAGGTTGATAACATAATTCTAAATTTTATGTGGAAATATAAACTACTCAGAATACCCAAAACAATCTTGAAATAAAATAGTACTTTGGAGTATTTATACAATTTGGTTTCAAAAGTTACTATAATCGAGATTGTGTTATATTGCATAAACAGAGACTTATAGATAGATGAAAGCAAATTTTGAATCCAGAAGCAGATCCACATTTACATAGTCACTTGATTTTTCTTTTTTAAACCAAAGTACCAACATTACTTAATAGGGTAAAGAAAGTCTTTTTAACAAATGGTTTTGCAAAAGATAACAACTTATATGAAAACAAAAATACCTCAAACCATACCGAAAATTAATTCAAGATAGATCAGAGTCCAAAATGTAAAGGATAAAATTCTAAAACTTCTTGAAGAAACAGAGGATTTTTTTTTGCAACCCTTGGAGAGAGAAAAATTTCTTAGAGCACAAAATGTTCTAATCATAAGGGGAAAATTTGGTAGAGTGGACTTGATCAAAATTTAAAACTTCTGCTTATCAAAGCTAACATTTAGAAAATAAATATGAAAGCCACAGATTGGGGGAAATATTTGCAACCCAACGGACTTTTATTAAAAACCTACAAACACTCTTACAACTCAATAATAAGACAACGCAATAAAAATAAGTAAATGACTTGAATGGATACTTCATAAAGAAAGATATGCACAACAATTTATAAGCACATTAGAAAGTGATCAGTCCTATTAATCATCAGTGAAATGTAAATTAAAATGATCATGATATAGGACTACAAATCCACTAAAATGGCAAAATTAAAAAGACTGACAATACCAAATGTTGGAGGAGATATGAAGCAACTGAAATTGTCATACATTGCTGATAGGACTTGTAAAATGGTATATAACAACTTTGCAAATCTGTCTAGCAGTTTCTCATATACCCTACCGTAGGACCAGCAGTCCTATACTTAGGCATTTATCCAAGAGAAATATTTTTCTCATATACATAAAATGACTCATACAAAAATGTTCCAAGCAAATTTATTCATAAATAAACAGAAACTAGAAACAACTCAAATATCCATGTACAGGAGAATGGATAAAGAACTGTGGTGTATTTATACAATATATTGATGTAACTCATCAATTACAAGAACTAGCTCCTGATACTAACAACAACACGAATAAACTTCAAAAAATTGTGCTGAGTCAAAGAAGCCAGAGCAAAAGAGTACATACTGTGTGATTCTGCTAATCTATGATTGAAGATATCAGAATAGTGGTACCTCTGGGTAGAGGGCATAGAGGTTGATTGGGAAAAGGCATGAGAGAACATTCTGGGATTATAGATGGGATTATAGACTCAATAGAAATTTGAGTTTCATGGTTATATACAGTTGACAAAACTTATCACAATGCATAGGCCTTTGATTTAATCTTTGTCATTTTACTGTATGTGACTATATTTCTGTGAGGTTCATCATATAATAAGTGCTCAAATATTTGCTTAATTTGAGACTAAATTATTTTTTATTATGTTCCCATACACAGTTGTTTTTTTTTTAAGTCGTGAACTATCTTCAGCATCTGTTTCCTGCCTTTCTAAGTCAAAATTTCCTGTCCAGGCCCTGCTAAGCAGTTACTATTCTCATGCCCTTGTTTGTTTCAGGACCTCTTAACAGCTCTCACTGAGTTCTTGTGATTGACTAAGTATTCCAGAATAAGGGAAGTTACTAAGATCAGAAAAGTCAAAATGATGCAGAGAATGCATCTGCACAATAACTGTTCAAGTTCACCTGTGCACCAGGTTAGACTGAAATTCGAATTTAGGAAATACGTCCATCATTTGCAAACAAGCTAAGCAAACCTGGTGGGATTATCTAGCATGCATTCTCATTAGTTAGGCAGCTTTATGCATACTAAGATTCCTCTTGCCATGGTTACGTTTGACACCCAGAAGCAGACTCAGAGCCCATCTTCACGAGCTGCTTCCCTGGGCTACAATTTCAGTGACCACTAGTTTATGAGGGGCTGTTAATCTGTCGAACCTAATAATCACTAATACTGCCCATAACATCTGCTGGATGACCTTACCGTGCTTAGTCAATCAATGAATGAAATCAACTCCTAGGACAATAAACAAAAACTGCAATACTTCAATAAAAGATAGTGAGAGAAAATCTGAAGTTTTAAAAGAACGGAACAAAATAAAAACCAAAAAGCAAATTTAAGAAACAAAAAGAGAAACAGGATGAGAAGGAAAACACACGCATATTTATTATGAAGCACATAATGTCCCCTCAATCTGTGTTCTTACAAGATGCCTTTGAATAGTTGCATTGAATTTTTCTTTAAAACACATAACTCTATTATCCACACTGAGAAATAATTTAGGCCTTTAGAACACACTTCCATGATTTGACTGCTTTCATTCAGAAAATTCTCTCAATAACGAAGAATAACATCTTTCACAAAGAATCAAGTTCACTAATAATCTAGTGAGTAAGAAACTATTTAAATCCTGGCTTTATGTCCTCTCATAAGCCTTTCAGTATGCCATGATTTTTCATGCTACAGTTTGGAGTTTTCAAAAATTCCTGATGCATTCATTTAAATTAGTTTGAAATATTTGTAAACCCTGGAGCTACTCCATACAGTAATATGGAGAATATTCTTACAGATTGCCTCCTGACCAAACTAAGTATGAACTAGGTATTTGCTATTTTAAAAAAATAGATTGAATTTACTAGGTGGGAGATTTCCATTAGGAAATAGAATGCATCATTTTCCGAAGGTCCTCAGGGTTTTCTTCACTTTCTGATGTACAAATGACCTTGAAGTGTGGTCTTCTTTCTGTCGTGTCTGTCATTTTGACAACTTTATCTGGCGGTATTGCATTCATCTATAGATCCACTAAGCTATAGATACTCCTGTCTTCTCCCTTCCATTTGTTCATTAATCTGACAAATAGTTACTGAGAGCTCACTGCTGCAAGCACTGGCGACACAGCTGTGAACAAGACAGATGTAGCCCCACCCCAGTGGAGCTTAGAGCCTCTTGTCACACAAGGCATTATACAAATGATTCTTTAATTGTAAATATGACAAATATCATGAAGAAAAAGCAAAGATATGCCTGAGAGTGTATTATTACGAGAGTACAAATTAACCTGGTTGGAGGTGGAAATGGCACTTTATCAAGGTCCCTTCTAGTACCAGCAATTAGTTTGAATTTGGCAGTACACTATTTCCAGGTATAGTTACTTTGTGACAGCATTGTCAGTTTTTGGTCATATTGGCTCCAGTCCATCTGCTGGTGTTGAACAAATACCATATTGACTTGATACTTTTGCTCAGTATGGCAATGAACTAGTTTTTATTGGTTGGATTACAATTATTTACAATTTTTTTAACATCTTTATTGGGGTATAATTGCTTTACAATGGTGTGTTAGTTTCTGCTTTATAACAAAGTGAATCAGTTATACATATACATATGTTCCCATATCTCTTCCCTCTTATTTACAATTTGATTGAAAATTTCATCTACCATTTATTTAAAACTTATTTATTTTTCGCTGTGTTGGGTCTTTGTTGCTGTGCGCCGGCTTCCTCTAGTTGCGGTGCGCGGGGCTACTCTTCGTTGCGGTGCGCGGGCTTCTCATTGCGGTGGCTTCTCTTTGTTGCGGAGCATGGGCTTTAGGCGCGTGGGCTTCGGTAGTTGTGGCACGTGGGCTCAGTAGTTGTGGCCCACGGGCTCTAGAGAGCACGTTCAGTAGTGTGGTGCGTGGGCTTAGTTGCTCCGCGGCATGTGGGGTCTTCCTGGACCAGGGCTTGAACCCGTGTCCCCTGCATTGGCAGGAGGATTCTTAACCACTGCGCCACCATGGAAGTCCCTCATCTACAATTTTTTAGGCTTGTTTCTCCACTAATTAAGTACAAAATTAATCCTTATTTTCTGACTCAAGAAAAAGTCCAGAGATAAAATACATAATTATTAAATGTTATTTCCTCAAAGACAGTATTTTGTGACCTTAGGAAAATTATATTTCTTCATTCTTTGGTGGAAAACAGTGGGAAAAAATTAGTTCTTTATAGCATAAGATGCTAAAGATTGATACAGTTCTGAGTTTTATAACAACCAAATAATTTATATGTTTTCTTATCAAACAAAAAAATCATTACTCTTGCAAGTTTTGTTTGATGTCTCTTAGGTACAGATCATACTGCAAGTGCAATTGTTACTTAATTTGCTCAATTTTATTGACCTAATCATATAACTATATTGCTTAACTATGGAACTATATAGTTAATATTGCTTAACTATAAATAATTTAATAAGTATCAGAAAGCAAGATTCTTGTTTATAAACTGTCTAGAACTCATGAACGTTTTTTCTTTACTTTCAATTTCTTATCAATTTCTACAGATCTATATATGATAATGAACAGTCTTGCTACACCTTATCTGGAAGTTAAAAACTATGCCAGAACTTGAATGTTGTTGCTGAGATAGTCCTAGATAAGTTTTAAGTTGGTTTTAATGAAATTTCAACTGTCATGTTCATTTTACAGTGGTATTTCACAGATAAAAACCCAAAGCAAAAAGTGATCACAGTTTTGAATACCCCAATATAGCAATTTATTTTGGAAAACTTAAAGTTGTATTATCTTTATTTTGTGCATTGCCCAATTTACGAATAACTAGCTAAACGTTTTTCAAGAAAATAGGTTCGTCACTGTATTAGTTTTCTTGGACTACAATAACAAAATATCATAGACTAAGTGTTTTAAACAACAAAAATTTATTTTTTCCTAGTTCTGGAGAGTGGAAGTCCAAGATCAAGGTGCCAGCAGGATTGGTGTCAGGTAAGGCCTCTCCCCTTGGGATGCCAGATGGCAGCCTTCTCACACGTGCTCACATGGCCTTCCTTTGTTGCATGCATATGGGGAGAGAGCAAAGAGTGTGAGCTCTCTGGTGGCTCTTCTTATAAAACCCTAGTCCTATTGGATCAAGGCCCCAGTCTTACAACCTCATTTAACCTTAATTCCTTCCTTATGAGTCTCCATCTCCAAATACTCCCAAACTGGGGGTTAAGGCTTCAATATATGAATTGAGGTGGGGGAACACAAGCATTCGGTCAATAGTGGTCGTGAAAATGTCAGTTTGGTGTAACTCCAAAATCAATAATGCATTGCTTTACATAACAGGAATGGACCAACCTCTGATTCTCAAAGCTCAGGTTCTCATTAGGTCATTGGATCAAACAAATAATTTCATGTTCAAGATATTGTATAAAAATGATATAAACTGAATATCCTAGTAAGCTATTGATAAGCTTACCTTATTAACAGTACTCATTAAAAGATATTTTATTAACTTTTGTGTAATGTTCAACGTATTAGGGATTGCTATTAACGAAAGTATAATGATGTGCTACCAATAAGCCATGTTGTTTTAGAACTATATCGCTTGCTTTTCTGGAGGAAGAGCAAAAAGAAGCAGCACTGTATAAAAAATTAGCATTTCCTAAATGAAGTAGTGATTGAAGCAATTTTATAGGTATCACAAAAGAAAAGTTGTTAAATGAGGAAAATAGATTTGGGTGTGAATTAACTTCCATTTCAGCTTTTGCTTTCATTATAGAGTGCTAGCATAACTGCCATAGGATAGAGTACCGAGGAAGCAGAAGCCTCAAAAAGTGAGAACTTAGATGTCCAAACATGAAAGACAAAAACAAGCCTGAAAAATAGTGCCCTCGAAGAAATTAGAACTACACAGAGATGCTTTCCAAAGTTAAAATTTCTGTGGTGGAATAAGCACCTCATTCTCATGAAAATGATAACTTCTTAGAATGGATACCAAAAAAAAATAGCAACCGGGTATAGCTGGATTGCTGCCTTGTTTTCAGTGCAAGAGTTCTGATGTTTTTCAACTGAGAGTCCAGTTGTCCTTAAGTTTTACAGAGAAAGACCCCTCAGCTCTGGTGGACCCCTCACCCACTTGTCTGTGTGTACAATTCTTGGTGTAGCTCTGTTCCGTAACTGAGTGCTTCACACAAAGTCATATAACTCCCCTAGGAAAGGGGGCATGAGAAAAGATAAAAGGGAAGCCAAGCAGAAGGCCACCTGACAAGTAGAACATCAGTTAGGGCCCCGCTCAGTGGGATTTCACAGTGCGTGTTGACACAGGACCAAATTAGCTAAGCCGATAATTTAGGCATCAACGGGACATAAATCAAGAGGATAAAGTGGTTAAAGTCGAGCTTTAAAAAAATGAGACATTTCCTTGCTAATGAAATATTTTCTAACAGGTAAAGGATATTATTATTATATATATATTTTAATGATACTCATTATGAGGTGTTTCTATGACCTGGATTGCCAGTCTGATAAAACTTTAGTGACGGAGCCAGTGTTGGTGTTTTTGGTTTGTTTCTTAAATAGAGCGTCAGTTAAGTAGATCTGGAGAAAAGAGAGCTACAGAAAAGTCATTAGCGATTTGATCCAGCCTTCAAATATCAGCTCTTGAAGTAAAAAATAAATTTCTAAACTGTAGTCATTAACCAACTTATAAATTATAAGAGTGTCATTGCATATGAAAAAGTGTTTCATCTTTCCTGAAAAAGAGTCATGAAAATGAATAGAATGAATAAAACACAGTCTTACAAAAGTAGTCACTAGTATGCTAGTATGTCATTTAACATAATTTATTCAAAATTTTAGAATCTTTAACCTGAATATAGGAATATTGAAAAGTTTATGAGAAACTCAGTAGAAAAGATGAAACTCATAAATCAATGCAGACGTATTGCAGCCTCCTGCACCGCGCTTGTCACATAATAGCTTCCCCGTAAAGATTTGTTGACACGCCGACTGCTTGGCTTGAAGACCATAATAGTACAGCATACATTTTTTATGAGGTGCTTTCTAAATATCTTGCATTTATCTTCTAAATGTAACTTTGGCTGTGTGGTAGGACTGACTCTGCCCTTTATCGTGTTGTAACCACCAGACACAACCTGGAGTTATTAGCTTTGCTTTGCTTTCTGTATTTTCTTTTAAATCTTTATGAGGAATAGCACAGGAACTGTAACGTTTACATTTCACATCCTCTCAGCCCATCGTATGTGAAAAGAGGGTGGGGAAGGAGCCGTAGGAAGTTACATGAAGTGTGCCTCAGCTCAGAGCCAGAATTCGTGTTCAGACTTGGCTGGGGATGAGAGGCAGGTCAGAGCTGTGGGAAACAAATGAGAAAGTAAGAGATCAAGAGATCCGTGTGAGGAAGGCTGCAAGGCTTCTTGCTCTGGAGGCAGAAAGGTGTGCGTTAGGATTCTGGTTCTGCCACTTAAGCTAAACGCGTCTCCGTTTCTTCACTGATGAAGAGGAGCTGCTACTGAGTGTGAAGGTTAGAGGCGATATGGTTGGGTTCTAAATATAGTAGGAGCTCACAAATGTTATTTTTATTATTCCAAAGAACGTTTGATATAAAAATGTAATAACAGGGCTTCCCTGGTGGCGCAGTGGTTGAGAGTCGGCCTGCCGATGCAGGGGACACGGGTTCATGCCCTGGTCCGGGAAGATCCCACATGCCGCGGAGCGGCTGGGCCCGTGAGCCATGGCCGCTGAGCCTGCGCGTCCAGAGCCTGTGCTCCGCAACGTGCGAGGCCACAACAGTGAGAGGCCCGCATACCGCAAAAAAAAAAAAAAAAAAAAAAAAGTAATAATAGATGTCATCTAGGAAATATAGGGGATTCTGGGCAGGTTATGGTCTAAACACCACTCCCAAAGCCCATTCATGAGCAAATCACGGTGGGGCTGAAGAAAGCTGGGAACTGTTGAGGTCTTGCGCTTCAAGGGAGTCGTGGAGAGCTGTTCTCCCACAGATTCTAAGAAACTGGCCAGGGAGCTGTTGCCCTCAGTGTCTGCTGAGTAAGGTCCAGACCCAAACGCAATGGCTCTCTGTGACCTGTGACAGCAACACCTACTGGATGGTTCTTAGCGCTTCAGGCGCCTGAGTTGGTAGCAGTCCAGACCCCTGGGACACTGTAATTTTCATTTCTGTCTGGGAGTGGGGAGAAAAGAGTACAGAAGGGACAGGCAGACTCTTCGCCCTCTAGCGAGCTTACTCTCCCAGCCCTGCCATCTCTAGCTTCCTCCATCCCAGCACCCCTCCTCCACTGACTCTGCAGACCTCCTGCATCTGGCAAAGGGACTCATGAAAGATTCTCATTGCTGATGCCCTAAATCCCACCTCTGGCTGCCAGCCATTCTCTGTCTCTCTAGAATTGGAACTTTTGCAATCTCCATCTAGAGGATTACTTTAAACATGGAAATTAGGTTAGCTGCCCATTTGGCATGTTTAAGTAGGACACTTACCAATGGATAAAGCCCTCATTTCCACCTGCAGCAGGTACATGTGTTGCTTGTTCCACAATTCAGAATATCTGAACTTGTAGTTTAAAACTGTTTGGTGGTGGAGCTGGAGTTCACTCATAGGTAGCGTGCTCTGGAGTCTACGTTTTCATTTTCATACTGTACCACTTCCCTCTTACTCCGGTGGATTAGAGGGGATGGGGGGATGGGGCGAAAGAAGCTAAAAAGGTGGGTTAAAGTTGTATAGCGTCTTGAAAGCTAAACCAAGGAATTCCAATCTTACCATGTAGGCAGTCTGGAGTCAGAGAGATGAAACAAAGTGGTATTTGAGGAAAATTAATCTGATAGCAGAACGCAGGATTTAATAGAAGGAGGAAGATATTTAAAGCCTGAGACAATGTCTAAGAGGGTATTACATTAATCTAGGGGTGACAGGATGGAAACTCAGCCTGGGAGGTAAGATGGGAATTAAAAGGAACCGATGGATGTGAACAAGGAAACATTGACTGATTGGAGTGGGAAGTAAAAATAATGACTCTGATTTTACGGCTAGATAATAAGGAGAACTGCTAAAAGAAAAACAAATAAATCAACAAACAGCAACAACAACAACAACAAAAATAGGTAACTGAGAAGCTGTGGTTAATGAATTATTTAATCTGAACCTAAATTTTATATTCCTCAGTTTAAACTTCCTCTTGTGTTATCGTCAGTGTAAACATTGCTGTTTAAATTCCCATTAACTGCTTACCCTTTCAGCTAAACGATCCTGATATTATCATTTTTCTCATTCCCCATTCCCAAATACATATTCATATATAGGCTTATTATGGGGCAGAATTAACATGCTGTACTCTCTGCCGCCTCTCTGTAAGGGGAAGCACAAAAAGGGATTCTGGAGAGAAAAATGGTAGCCCTCCCTTTCTGAACTCTTATTATGTACCTACCTCTGTGCTGAACTTCTTATATATATCATCTATTTAATGCCCATAGCAACGTTATGAGATAGGCACTACTATTATTGCATTTTACAAGTGAGAAGGCCGAGGCTTAGAGGAGTATAGGGACTTCCTCAAGGTCAAAGGAGCCCAAAGTGACAAGCCAATAGTGTATCCCTTGTCTGTCTCCTCAGAGCCCATTAGCCACTATTAATAACGGAATATGATCGTTGGTTCTAAATTCATTTGGAAAAAAATCTTCTAACTGAAAGGAAAAGTCTGACATTCTTTTTTATATAATGGCTTATTTATTGCTATAGTTTACCTGTCAAATAAGAATGTTGCAGTGGTTTTATTTCAGACCTGTGTGTGAGGAAGACTGTCACCACACATTAATGTACTAGAACGTAGGTGTAACATATTTCCTATGAAAGAGAATTTGATATGATTTAGAAAATCTTGCACCCCATCCAATAATTTATCTTTTTAGCCCAGATGTAAACATAAAGTAGTTTCAAGGTGTGCACTTACGAACAGAATGCCAGTGTGTGACCTACCCCATGAAGAGGTCTGACTATATAAAACAATTACTATATGCCCAATTAAAGAAGTTTTAAAAAGACCATGTGAATCAGAAATCAGAGTGTATAGAGGTCAGTAACTTAAAGACAGCATCTCCAAAGTATGGGGATGGCTTCGGTTGATGATTTTCATGTTATCATTAATGAACTCGCCATTTGAAAAACCCTCACAAGGGAATTGTTGGAAGAGTAGGTATTCACATTTAATTTCTTCTAAAATGTCTTCGCTAGTTTCAAACACATTTTTCAAACCTGGCGTTCAAAGTTGCTACTACTTTGGAATAGCAGTAACAACGGGCTTACGAGGATCCTAAGTGGCACTTATTCGGTGGAGTAACTGGAAGCAGCAATGGTTATGCAAATAAATGTCCCTCCTAGGGAAGAATGAGAGATCTGCCCTGAAACTGCAGCTGTGAAAAGCTGGTGCTAAATGGAGAAGAGACTAGAAGATAGAGAATGGGAAATAAGGTAGAAATAACTAACGAAGATGACTGTATACAGCTGTAAGGTAACGGTGTTCAGGGTGGATAGTCAAGTCTTTATGTGTGGAGCAAGTACCCATCTCAACCTGTAAAACAAAGTGAAGATGAAATGTATTTTTGTTTTTCTATAAAGTACCTTTTAATTTAATTTATTGTGAACCCTCATTCTACCGAGACAGAGTGTGGTCATATTCCTCAGCAAAAAAAGCACTCCAGATGCCATGTCTGCAAGTCCTCACACTCACCGGGCCATCAGTTTTTCACTTCCTACCTCATCAATGACTTTGAACTTTCTTTTATGCATATTTTGTTATTTGTTAACACTCTCTTACAAGTGATTTTCAGATAATCAAAAATACATTCAAGGAAAAGTTTATTTGATTCATTTGCAAGGCAGAGTCCGTGGATTTCTTTCTGCTGGTCCCCTTTGCACTTTCAGTGGAACAAACAGTGCAATTTTTATCCTTTCCATTTTTAGAGCTGCAGCTGTAAAAGTAATTAATGGCTAAAGAAACTCTAGCACATCCTGCAGAAGGCCATTCTGCATTCAGCACGAGCTGTGAAACCAAAGCCGCTGCCTCTACATGCTAGTAGACCTCAAGAGAGCATCCTGGCGAATGCCAGAGGACTCCTATCTTAATCTTGGAACCTCCGAAGCACCCTGATTTATTTTGGCCACTGACACCCATAAAGGAAAACTTGTATCAACAGGTGTTTTCATTACTATTTCAAATGATTACTTCGGTGCATGTAAAAAATTTGTTTTAATCTCTGGAAGTTGACAGTGATGACCTCAGACTTCCTTTGCATTATTAGTTAAGAAATGAGGATAGTCACAAATTTTATAAAAGGATGTGCATTTCCCTGTGATTATTTTTTCTTTTCCTTTTCAATCTCCACTTTTTTCTTTTTGTCTCTCTACCTTCTTTCCAAATACACTTGTGCCAAAACATGCCTGCGGTTAGGTAATTTCAGATATAATGAGGAAACCAGCAAGGTGTACTATCTGCATAGTCAGTGGACCTGATGTGGGATTGAAATCAGATGAGCTCGCTTCCAGGTGTGGCAAAGCTCTTACTACCTGTGACCTTGGGTAAATTGCTCGACACTCTGGATTCTCAGTTTTCTGATCCATAAAAAAGGATAGCAATACTTGCTTGGTTTACTTCACAGTGTCCTTGAGAGATAATGAATGTGAAAGTGCTCTATAAACTGTGACATTCTATACAAACACAAGGAGCAATGGTGTTGTCGATGGTTTTTTTTTTTTTTGGCCGCACAGGGCGACATGTGGAATCTTAGTTTCCCAACCAGGGATGGAACCAGGCTCCCTGCAGTGGAAGTGTGGAGTGTTAAGCACCGGATTTCGACAGAACAAGACTCTCCACAAACAGTGGTGAGAGAAAGGAGTCAGTCGAGATTCCTTTGTTCCATCTCATTGACTCATCTAATAACACTGAGGCAAGGACTCTACGCTGCATTTTCCCTGGTGTACGGGAGAGCACACATTTATCAAATATAGAGAAGGAAGATGAGCCTTCTGAACTCCTTCTTGTTTCTGCCTCTGGAGCCGAGCCAAGCTGCATCTCCAGAGGAGGTCACCGGTCTAAGAACACTCTGCCTCAGCTTTGCTGCTGCTCCTCTGCAGTGCTCAGCAAAGTGATGTTCAGTTGTTATGGCTGTTGCTCCACCCTGGGAGAATACCCAGGGGATATGGACGCCCCCAAGGCAGCCCACAGGAGGCTGGACCAGAAAGTGCAGGGTCACCATGCACCCAAGTGCCAGCATGCAGATCTCTTCTCCACCACATACACCTTCAGTGGCCTCTCCTGCTAATGTCCGCTATTTGACGTTTGAGAAAGATGGGGCTATGTTTTGTTAGTCTTTTATTCACCATTGTAAAAAGATAAGCTAACATATACCCCATGGGAATTGGATAAAATTGGAAAAATTATGACTGAACTATAGACCCGGGGCCTAAAATTATTCTGACTGTGGCCAAGTAAAAACATTAAAAATTGAAAATAGCATTGAAGATATTTGTGAAGATTCATTTTTGGTTTATTTTTTCCTTCTCTTGCTCAGATTTGACTGTAAGAAGAATTGAAGAACCCTGTAAAAACTGTAAAAATGCCTCTGCCAAACTGTAAATAACAGTATTCACTTAACAAAAGTGTCTTACTTTTTGTAATGTCTCTAAAATAGCAGTTCTCAAACTTCTTGGCCTTGGAATCTCTTTTAAATTCATTAATTATTTAGTACACCAAAGGGCTTTTGTTTATGAGGATTATATCAATAAGTATTTACTAAATTAAAAGTTAAACTTGAGAAGTTTCTAAATATTTGTTTATTTACTCAAAATTAGCAAAAATAAACATACTACTTGTTAACATCAGAGCACTGACATCATATGTCATGTAGCTACTGAAAACCTCAACTGTACATTCATGAGGGAATGAGAGTGAGAAAGGCAAATAATTTATTTGTATTTGCTTTTTGATAACCACTTTAAGAACTTACCTTCTGAAGTATTTTGATTTTCCTAAAAAGGTATCAAACCCAAATAAGGAACTACAATGTATTATTTTGTTTTTAAAGAAACAAAATAATTTTTACAAATTCTATTTTAGTATAGTTGATTTACAATATTATATTAGTTTCAGGTGTATAACATAAATTTTTATAGATTATACTCCATTTAGAGTTATTACAAAATAATGGCTATATTTCCCTGTGCTGTATAATATATCCTTTTTGCTTATTTTTTTTTTTATAAATATAGTTTGCATCTGTTAATCCCATACCCCTTTCTTGCCCACCCCTTCCCTCTCCCCACTGGCAACCACTAGTTTGTTCTCTCTCTGTGAATCTGTTTCTGTTTTGATACATTCGTTTGTGTTATTTTTTTAGATTCCACATATAGGTGATAACATAGACTATTTTTTTCTCTGTCTAACTTATTTCACTAAGGGAAATATCCTCTAGGTCCATCCACGTTGTTGCAAATGGCAAAATTTCATTCTTTTTTATGGCTGAGTAATAATCCTATGTATGTATATCACATCTTTTTTATCATCTGTTGATGGACACTTAGGTAGCTTTCAGATCTTGGCTATTATAAATAATGCTGCTATGAACATTGGGGTGCAGGTATCTTTTCGAGCTAGTGTTTTTTTTTCCTTCAGAAATATACTCAGCAGTGGAATTGCTGGATCATATGGCAGTTTTATTTTTAGTTTTTTGAGGAACGTTCATACTGTTTTCCATAGTGGCTGCACCAATTTACAATCCCACCAATAGAGTGTTAGGGTTCCCTTTTCTCCATCCTTGCCAACATTTGTTATTTGCAGACTTTTTTATGATAGCTATTTTGACAGGTGTGAGGTGATATCTCATTGTGGTTTTGATATGCATTTCTATGATGATAAGCAACATTGAGCATCTTTTCATGTATGTGCCTGTTGGCCATCTGTATGTCTTCTTTGGAAAAATGTCTGTTCAGATCTTCTGCCCATTTCTAAATTGGACTGTTTGGGGGTTTTTTACATTGACTTGTATGAGATGTTTATGTGTTTTGGATATTAACCCCTTATTAGTCAATATCATTTGCAAATATTTTCTCCCACTCAGTATGTTGTCTTCTCACTTTGTTGATTATTTCCTTTGCTGTGCAAAAGATTTTAACTTTATTAGGTCCTATTTGTTTATTTTTGGTTTTGTTTCTTTTGCCTTAGGAGACGTATCCTAAAAACTATTGCCATGATTTATGTCAAAGACTGTACCACCTATAGTCTCTTTTGGGAGCTTTATTGTATCTGGTCTTACACTTAGGTCTTTAATCCATTTTGAGTTTATTTCTGTATATGCTGTGAGAAAATGTTCTAATTTCATTCTTTCACATATACCTGTCCAGTTTTCCCAGCACCACTTATTGAATAGACTGTCTTTTCTCCATTGTATATTCTTGCTTCTATTGTCATAGATTAATTGACCATGGGTGTATGGGTTTATTTCTGGGCTTTCTATTCTGTTCCTCTGATCTATAGTTTGTTTTTATGGCAGTACCATACAGTTTTGACTACTGTAGCTTTGTAGTATAGTCTGAAGTCAGAAAGCATGACATCTCTAGCTTTGTTCTTTTTTCTCAAGCAAGAAATAAAATAATTTTTAAGTTAGTTTCATTGATCTTAAAAAGTAGTTTCCATTTTTGTAACTGTGGACAATGATGTTTGAAGCCCCATCCTGCCACCAACTGATTGAGTGATGTTGGGCAAGATATTTAAGCTTCCCAGACACAGTGTCCTTATCTGTAAAATGAAAATGGTAAAAATATACCTACCCATTGGGATTGTTGTCATGAAAAAAGTGACTCTATACATATATGTGCATCACAGTTCCCCAGACATACAGAAAGAGAGAGACAGAGGAGAAATATATTTTATTTTAAGGAATTGGCTCATGTGATTATAGAGGCTGGCAAGTCCAACATCTGTAGGGTGGCCCATCTGGCTGGATATCCAGGGAAAAGTCAGTGCCACAGACCTGTCCAAAAACCATCATGATGGAGACCAAAGGAAGAGCCAGTGTTACAGTTCAAGTCCAAAGGCCATCTGCTGACTGAATTCCCTCTTGCTCTGGGGAGGTCAGTCTTTTGTTGTAATCAGATGTTCAGCTAGTTGGATGAGACCCACCCACATTAATGGAGGGAAACCTGCTTTACTCAAAGTCCAGCAATTTAAGTGTTCATCTTATCCTAAAACATCCTCACAGAAACATCCAGAATAATGTTTGATCACATACGTAGGCACTGTGGCCCAACCAAGTTGACATGTAAAATTGACCGCTGCAATATACAAAGCACTTTGAATCATTTCTAGCATATGCAGACTCTCAACAAATGTTAGTTATTATGTATGTTAGTATTGAATTATCATTTTTCTTTTTATTTTTTTAACATGTTTATTGGAGTATAATTGATGTACAATGGTGTGTTAGCTTCTGCTTTATAACAAAGTAAATCAGCTATACATATACATATATCCCCATATCTCTTCCCTCTTATATCTCACTCCCTCCCACCCTTCCTATCCCACCGCTCTAGGTGGTCACAAAGCATCAAGCTAATCTCCCTGTGCTATGTGGCTGCTTCCCACTAGCTATCTATTTTACATTTGGTAATGTATGTAGTATATGTACATGCCACTCTCTCACTTTGTCCCAGATTACCCTTCCCCCTCCCTGTATCGTCAAGTCCATTTTTTTGTTTTGTTTTTTTAGATTCCATATATATGAGTTAGCATATGGTATTTGTTTTTCTCTTTCTGACTTACTTCACTCTGTATGAAGGTCTCTAGGTCCGTCCACTTCATTACAAACAAAACTCAGTTTTGTTCCTTTTTATGGCTGAGTAATATTCCATTGTATATATGTGCCACATCTTTATCCATTCATCTGTTGATGCACACTTAGGTTAATTCCATGTCCTGGCTATTGTAAATAGAGCTGCAATGAACATTTTGGTACATGACTCTTTTTGAATTATGGTTTTCTCAAGGTATATGCCCAGTAGTAGGATTGCTGTGTTGTATAGTAGTTCTATTTTTAGTTTTTTAAGGAACATCCATACTGTTCTCCATAGTGGCTGTATCAATTTATATTCCCACTGAAGGTGCAAGAGGGTTCCCTTTTCTCCACACCCTTTTTGCATTTATTGTTTGTAGATATTTTGATGATGGCCATTCTCACCGGTGTGAGATGATATTTCATTGTAGTTTTCATTTGCATTTCTATAATGATTAATGGTGTTGAGCATGCTTTCATGTGTCTGTTGGCAATCTGTATATCTTCTTTGTAGAAATGTCTATTTAGGTCTTCTGCCCATTTTTGGAATGAGTTGCTTGTTTTTTTGATATTGAGCTGCATGAGCTGCTTGTAAATTTTGGAGATTAATCCTTTGTCAGTTGTTTCATTTGCAGATATTTTCTCCATTCTGAGGGTTGTCTTTTCATCTTCTTTATGGTTTCCTTTGCTGTGCAAAAGCTTTTAAGTTTCATTAGGTCCCATTTGTTTATTTTTTGTTTATTTTTCCATTTCTCTACGAGGTGAGTCAAAAAGGATCTTGCAGTGATTAATGTTATAGAGTGTTCTGCCTATGTTTTCCTCTAAGAGATTGATGGTGTCTGGCCTTACATTTAGGTCTTTAATCCATTTTGAATTTATTTTTGTGTATGTGTTAAAGAGTGTTCTAATTTCATTCTTTTACATATAGCAGTCCAGTTTTCCCAACTCCACTTATTGAAGAGGCTGGCTTTCTCCATTGTATATTCTTGCCTCCTTTATCAAAGATAAGGTGACCATATGTGTGTGGGTTTATCTCTGGGCTTTCTATCATGTTCCATTGATCTATATTTCTGTTTTTATGCCAGTACTATACTCTCTTGATTACTGTAGCTTTGTAGTATTGTCTGAAGTCAGGGAGCCTGATTCCTCCAGCTCCGTTTTTCTTTCTCAAGATTGCTTTGGCTATTCAAGGTCTTTTGTGTTTCCATACAAATCGTGAAATTTTTTGTTCTAGTTCTGTGAAAAATGCCATTGGTAGTTTGATAGGGATTGCATTGAATCTGTAGATTGCTTTGGGTAGTAGAGTCATTTTCACAATGTTGATTCTTCCATTCCAAGAACATGGTATATCTCTCCATCTATTTGTATCACCTTTAATTTCTTTCATCAGTGTCTTATAATTTTCTGCATACAGGTCATTTGTCTCCATAGGTAGGTTTATTCCTACATATTTTATTCTTTTTGTTGCAGTCGTAAATGGGAGTGTTTTCTTAATTTCACTTTCAGATTTTTCATCATTAGTGTATAGGAATGCAGGAGATTTCTGTGCATTAATTTTGTATCCTGCTACTTTACCCAATTCATTGATTAGCTCTAGTAGTTTTCTGGTAGCATCTTCAGGATTCTCTATGTATAATATCATGTCATCTGCAAACAGTGACAGCTTTACTTCTTCTTCTCCGATTTGGATTCCTTTTATTTCTTTTTCTTCTCTGATTGCTGTGGCTAAAACTTCCAAAACTATGTTGAATAATAGCGGTGAGAGTGGGCAACCCTTGTCTTGTTCCTGATCTTAGTGGAAACGGTTTCAGTTTTACACCAATATGGATGATGTTGGCTGTGGGTTTGTCATATATGGCCTTCATTATGTTGAGGAAAATTCTCTCTATGCCTACTTTCTAGAATGTTTTTTTTATCATAAATGGGTGTTGAATTTTGTCAAAAGCTTTTTCTGCATCTATTGAGGTGATCATATGGTTTTTCTCCTT